ATTATTCTTTATGAAGGTCATAGAAGTTGTATGAGTATTCATCTTGGTCCTAATAAAATGTATCTGGATTTTAAGAAGATGTTTTGGTGGTCAGGAATGGAGAAGGAAGTAGATGAGTTTCTTTATGCTTGTTTGACTTGTCAAAAGTCAAAGATTAAACATCAGAAGTCGTTGGGTCTGATGCAACCGTTGAGCATCCTTGAGTAGAAACGAGACATCATTTCCATGGATTTTGTGACGAGTTTGCCAAAAACGATGAAAGGGTGTGATTCTATCTGGGTTATTATTGATAGGCTGGCTAAAACGACTCAATTTATTCCAATTAAGATCAGTTATCCTTTGTAGAAGTTGGTCGAGTTGTATATTGAGAAAGTTTTCAGTTTGCACGGTATTCCTTCAAGTATTATGTCATACAAAGATCTAAGGTTTACATTGAGGTTTTGGCAGAGTTTGCAAGAGGAGTTGGGTACTAAGTTGTGTTTGAGTTCTGCTTATCATCCGCAGATGGACTGTCAAACAGAAAGGACTATCCAATCTTTAGAAGACTTGTTAAGGGCTTATGTGCTAGATCAAGGAGGTGCTTGGGATATTATTTGTGATTGATTGAGTTCACCTATAAAAATAATTTCCATTTGAGTATTGGAATGATATCGTTTGAGGCGTTGTATAGTAGAAGATGTATAACTCTATCGTGTTGGTATGAATCTGTTGAGAGTGTGGTGCTTGGACCTAAAATTGTTCAGCAGACCTTTGAGAAGATCAAGATGATCCAAGAAAATATGAAAGCTTCGCAGAGTCGACATAAAAGTTACCATGATAAGAGGATGAAAACACTTGAGTTCCAAGAGGGGGATCATGTGTTTTTGAGAGCTACTCTAATAACCGGGTTGGTCGAGTTTTAAAGTCTCGAAAGCTTACACCGTGTTTCATTGGTCCATTTTAGATTATAGAAAAAGTAGAAGAAGTGGCCTACAAAAGTTGCGTTATCGCCGTTTCTGTCCAATCTCCATGAGGTCTTTCATGTGTCCCAGTTGAGGAAAAATATTCATGATCTGTCTCATGTGATTTAAGTGGATGATCTACAAGTTAGGGAGAACTTGACCGTCGAGGCATCTCCCTTGAGAGTAGAGGATCTCGAAGTGAAGAAATTGAGAGGCAGTGAGATTGCATTGGTGAAGATGGTGTGAGGAGGATCGTCTGGTGGAAGCATGACTTGGGAGCTGGAGATTCATATGAAGGAGTCGTTCCCGACTCTATTCTCTCCAGGTAATTTTCAAGGACGAAAGTCCTATAAGTAGGGGAGATTTGTAACACCCCAATTTCGATTAAGCGATTTAATCAGATTATTTGTGTGTTTATTTGATTTTATGTGTCTTTAATTGAATAAATTGTTTAAATTATTTTATGCCATGTGGGGTGAAGGGGATGTTGTGGAGTGTGTTGAGACTATAATGTTTGTGAGAATTGACTAGAATAATTAAATTATTAGTATTTTAATTAATTAAACAAAAATGAGAGAAATATGGGTATTTGATAGAATATTTGATTATTAGATTAAATAATTAAAATAAAATAGAAATTTAAGGAAAGGGGCAAAGTGAGAATTTTGGAAGTGAGTATAGAATAGAGAAACTCAAATTAGGATTTTTGTTATTATAGAAAGAGAAGTTGAGAGAATTAGGGAGTTTTTGATCAGTATGTGAAAAAGAGGAGAATAAGAAGCAAAAGCTTTTGGAGAGAGAGTCAGAGCTTTGGGAAGGAGATCACATAGAAGATTGCTTGTTGCTTTTGTTAGATTTATAAGGTAGGGGAGATTGTTCATCTAAAGGTGCCTAAATCATAAAAGGGTAGAGAGGTTTCCCTTAACCTCCAATAGGGTTTTTCTTGTTCTTATGATTGATGATAATCGGTTAAAAATGATGCAATTATGTTTTTATATGTTATGAATTGATGTGTAATGGTGTTTTGCAGCTATGGTGTTTTGTGTTCATGAACTAACTGATTCAATGATGAATGTGACTGAATTTGGATGTTTTAGGGTGTAATTATAATGGATCAATTCAGGATAAAAACATAAGTCTTTGACGTTCTAAGGATAATTGATGTTATAGTCATGTTAGATTGTGATTTTAGGGAGTTTGAGTTGTTATAATTGGGTCTGGTTTGAGAGATAAGGGGTAGAAGATGCAGAATGCAAGCGGTCTGTGAAAATTAGAATTTTTAGAAAATTGAACTATGTCAATCGATTGACATCTTGTGTCAATCGATTGCATCGGTGTAAAAATTAAAAAAAAAAACAATGTCAATCTATTGGCTAAGCTATGCAATCGATTAATTCTTGAAAAATTGGAAACAAAGGAGAGGGGCTTGTGATGACAATCGATTGACATCCTATGTCAATCGATTGATGCTGTGATATTTTTGAAAAATTTTAAATTTGAAACATTTTCTATTTCTGGTTGATTTAAGCCATAACTTTAGTTTCCTAGGTCCAAATGACGTGCATTTTGAAGCGTTAAAAAGTTAATGCACAGAGCTACCTCATGGTAATACAGTTTGAGATAATTTATGTATATATGAATGTCCATTATGGGAATAATTTTTGTGTTTCGTATGTATGATTGTGCGAGTATTATACATGTTAATTGATGATTGATGAGACTACTAGTTTAGAGTGAGAACTACTTGTGGCGCAGTGAATGTCTGGATGATTACAATTAGAGTGGGTTATATTCGTTGTTCTATTGTTGTTATTTCATTATGATATGCCATGCATCATATGTTCTAGTTATTGTGAAAGAGGCATGTTCGCTAGTTCAGAGTGGGGGCTAGTAACTTGTCACAAGCTCAGGTGTGGGGGCTTGGAGCTCAGATGTGAGGACCCAATTCGTATGAAGAATCAAATATTGATCCGTTATCGCATGCATATAGAGTTGAGTTGTATTGCATATTATAAAGGTTGTGTAATTGAGATGTATGTGTATTGATGAATACCCTAGTGTGTTTGAGTGAGTTTGACTGTGATATGAGTGAGATGTGAATACATGATATGTGAAGTGTATACCTGATACATGTGTGATTGTGTAGCGGGTAAATTTATCCTGATTATTTATGCATCATTAATTATTTGAATGTACTCTCACCCCTTTTGTTGTTTGTGTGGTTTTGTGCTCTTTTGGAGTACAAACTAACAGGTAAATGAGTAGTTGCTTAGAGTCAGAGGATGGCGTTGAGGCTGCTCTTCTGTTTCCTTTTTTATGCGTTTAGATTCTATTGCTATGATCTGTAACACATGAGTGTAAACGATGCTATTTTATTATTATGTTTTGTTAATTGAAAGTTAAATGTTATACTTTTGACGTTTTGAGCTTATGTCAGTTATGGAGGCTTTTACCATATTTGTTTTGATTTTAAATGGAGTATTTTATATGAGACTTATTACTTGTGAAGCATGCTTAGTTGTTGAATTCTGATGCGATGATACCCTAAATGAATGTGAACATGTGATAACATGTGTTTATATTATGTAATGTTTTACTTAATCCGTGTTACGAAGCATGTTTATATATGTTGTGTTTGCATGACACTCTATGTAATTAGTTGTTTTAAATTCGTATTATACGCGTTGGGGTTTTAGAATATTACAGGGTTTGACGAGTGCACGGGACGGTTTGTAGTGAGTAGACGGCCTCAAAATCTTAACACAAATCACCATTTTTTAACGAGTGCGCGGATCAGTCCAACATATCACAACCCATTTTCCACCCTAAATACAAGACTATGTTTATTGTTTAAATTGTTGTTGATTTATAAATATAAATAAATATAACTACCGATTAAACCATAAATCAATAATTTATACTCATTTTAATTTAACACATTTCAATTTACAAACCCCACCTACCCCTTTCACGTGTTTATTGTTAACATTAGACAAAACCTTTGTTTAATCGTATCAATTTACATACCCCCATATGTTTGTTTCATATTTTTATCGGAAATCGTTTAATAGTACTACGTATTTCAATTAAATAATATATATTTTTATAAAAAAAAGAAATCCAAATAAAAATTAATGTAATAATTTTTCCTAAAAATAATTTTATATTAATTTATTTTAAAAAATTATTAAAATTTAAATTATTTTAAAAACAAATGCATAAGAATTAAATACATATTTTTGAAAAGTTGTATAATTTTATTATTTTAATTTTTTTAATAATTTAATGTTGGTAATCATAATTCTCTTTTAATTTATAATTTTTTATTATTATTTTTGAAAAAATTATATATATATATATATATATATATATATATATATATATATATATATATATATATATATATATATATATATATATATATATATATATATATATATATATATATATATATATATATATATCATGGAATTAAGGAAATAATGATTTAAAACTATATCATAGAATATGTATTATGTAAAAATAAATTCTTCCAAAAAATATAAAACTGAGTATCAGTTTCAATTTCCAAAACTAAAAGTCAACTTATTTCTTCTTCAAGAAAACAAAATAAGTCCATTCAAAATCAAAAAAGTGTAATTGAATTAATTTATTTTTAAAATCAAATAATAAATTTGAAGTAATGTAATCAAATAATTTATTTCCCCAATTGATTCAATCCAATTAATCCACTAGTGTAGCATTAAATAATACAATTTGGAATAAGAAAAATACAATCTTTAAAACATGGTATATATAGATTTGATTCCAAGAATAGAAAATAATAATAATAATAATAACAACAAATTGGTAGAATGAAAACGACAGATTCTATCCAACAAACAATTAGGTTTGAAAAGGTTTCTATTTGGATAAGGATGAGGAGGTTGCCATGTCATTCCATGTCACATTTTCAGTTTATTTATGGTAATAAAATCTCGTTGAAGATTCAAATTTCATTGTGATTTATATTATAGTGTCATTGTGATAACCAAAAAAAAAGCTTAGAAAAAAACAGAAATGGAAAGAGTGTTTTCAATTGCAGAAATTACTGAACAATATTGGTTAACATCTAAGGCTTGTAAAGAAGGAGAATCAAAGATGAATAGAAGTGATTCTGAATGGGCTTTTCAACAGTTTCTTCAACAACAACATGAAGAAGAAGCTGCTAATACTTCTCATGCAAAGCCTTGTTCTTCTTCTTCAACTTCAACTTCTTCTTCCAACGTTGATCTCAAACTCAATAATAATAATATCAATGATTCAGAAGATTACTATGCTATCCTCAAAACCAAGCTTGATCTTGCCTGCGCCGCAGTCGCCATGTCTAGGGTATATATATATAGTTTGAACTAAGCCGTGTCTGATACGTGTTACTATCTGAAACCAATACATGTAATTATTTGTGTCAACATGTCTCTTTATAGGTTTTTGGTCTAATTGATGTTTATGGCTATAGGGATCTTTGGTGAAATCTCAGGAACCTGACAATGGATCACATGCACCTTATGCTTCTGAACATGGACCTATTCCTGCTTTAAAAGGTTTGGAGAATAAAGATGTCATGAAAGTTGTGCAGAAGAAGCCTGTTGTTTCAATCAGGTCAACAACAAGTTCTTCATCAGATGATGAAGAAGCTGAGGGAGAGATTAATATGAACGGAGACATGAATCCTTCAGATGCTAAAAGAGTAAGAAGGTAATGAATGTGTTTTGCATAACTAAACTTGTCGTAGTAGTAGTAGTTGTATATATCGTGATCGACTTATTTGAGTTTATCTGCGAAGAAGTTGTTTTTCAGCTTATTTCTATAAGCTCTTTAGGATAGCTTGTAGAGCTCAATGCTTAATGAAATTGCCTTTCAGGATGCTCTCTAATAGGGAGTCTGCTAGACGTTCGAGACGAAGAAAACAAGCTCATTTATCCGAGCTCGAAACACAGGTATGCATTATTCATGTTAATTTTTTCTGATCTATTTCCATTTTAATCTTTCAAATAACTGTTTTTTCTGATATAATATTCTATCTTAGGTCTCTCAATTAAGAGATGAAAAATCTTCATTGTTAAAGAATTTAACAGATGTGACTCAAAAATACAATAATTCTGCTGTTGACAACAGAATATTAAAAGCTGATGTTGAAACATTAAGAGCAAAGGTAAATCCACACTTTAACTACTTACTTCTAAAATTTGTCATAGGAATCCTACAATTGAGATACTCAGAATTCACGTAGTCAGCACATCAGTGACCATTAGGTTAAGATGGTCGTCATTGCGCTGATTGCGTGAATGCAAAGATACTTTGAATTCACATAACCAGCACATCGGAGACCATTAGGTCAAGATGGTCGTCATTGTGCTGACTGCGTGAATACAGGGATATTCAGCATTCACGTAGTCAGTACATCGGTGACCATTAGGTAAGATGGTTATGGTCACCATTGCGCTGACTGCGTGAAAGCAAAAGCATTCTGAATTCATGTAATCAGCACATCGGTGATCATTAGATTAAAATGGTTGCCATTACCGTGACTGCGTGAATGCAAGAATATCTCAACTAGAGAGAGATCCATTTTCAGTTGATTTATGTGTATTGACAATGATGTAACATGTTTACCGTTGCAGGTGAAGATGGCTGAAGAGACGGTTAAAAGATTTACCGGATTGACTCCAATGATGTTTAATGAAATATCGGAAATATCATCAATGGGAATGGGAATGTCATTATTTGATGGAAGCCCTTCTGAGTCATCAGCTGATGCATCTGTGCCAGAAGGTTCAAATAATCACTTTTGTCAACCAGCTTCCAATAGTCTTATGTCCAGTCATAATATAATAAGAGGAGTGAATAATGGATTGGGAGGCATTGTTTCTTCAGCTGAAAGTATGCAGAAAAACACTGCAGCAGGGAACAAGATAGGAAGAACAAACTCCTTGCCGCGAGTGGCTAGCTTGGAACATCTGCAGAATCGGATTCGCGGTGGCGCTGATGAAGAGAAGTGATTGAATAGTTTAATATAAGTGATGTTTTCAGGAACATGTTATTCTGAAACAACATTTTGTGTGTGATGATTTGTAAGTAAAGGTCTATTCTTGTTGACTGTTGAGCTAACTATGATTGAGAGTTAGGAATTAGGATAGCAAATAGGCCTTAAAGGAAACAAATTCTCCCAGAAATATGTTTGGAACATATATTGTTAACTTTGTAAATGGTTTTTATGTTTCTTGATTTATCTTGAATGAAAATGTTTTAATCCATAGGATGCTTTCGAGTTTCAATAAATAACTTGCTACTATATCTAGAATTTGAAAATAGGGAATTGTTATATTTTATTTTCTATAAAAGTAAGTATAAGGGATATTACCACTTCATATAGCCAAACTTTTGGCGAGGATGTCTAGAGTTTGCTGACGTGAAGTTAAAAGTGATAGACATATAAGATCAATATTTAATTTCTCGTTTATAAAACGGCGATCTATTTCAATGTATTTGATTTTGTCATGTTAAATAGGATTATGAGTTTTGATCTAGTAATGTTAAATTGAGTTACGAGCTATGGTGATAGTTGTCTTATTCTCATAGTATAATTTTAGCGAAAGTTCAATCAATACTTTTAACTCTTCTAAAATTTTGTAGATCCACAGTCCTTCACAAATACTTTGAGTCATAACTCTAAATTTGGCCTCTGCATTACTTCTTGATACCATTTTTTGTTTGTTGCTACTCTAGGCTACAAGATTACCTCAAACATAGGTACACTATCTAAAGGTATATCTTTGTATTGTTATATTTGTAAAATGTCTTGTCTAGGACGATGTCTTTAGACCGTCCTAGAAGAGACAATGATAAAATATGTCTCAGAGGGAGATATTGTCTCACCCGTAGTTTTTCTATCGCCCTGACGTGGAAATATGGGATAAGACACTTCTTAAACAAAGGCAAAGTCATTAACTGGCACACGACCCCCTTGGTAATAGAAATTCAACTATCTACCATTTATTGGCTCCTGAATTCGACACCTACTATACATTGGTCTTTTAGACCAAAAATGGAACAAATAAAACCAAGCTGGAGAATGTTTCGATGGGTGAAATAACTTAGAGGAAATATTTAAGTTACATATTGGTCTTCGACCAGGAATCACTATCAAGATTTCGACTGAGAAGGTCTGATGACCTTCGACTAGGAGAACATATCTTCGCGTCGACACCAAAAGTGAGGGACATTTGAATTTGAATTGTTGGAGGGAAAGACGGTTTCGCCAACAGTTAAAGAAAAGCAACGTGGCTGGAAGCTAGAGGTCGAGGGACATGCAAAGGACACTTGTCTTCATCTTAGAGCAAAGCTACCCCTCGACGGTTACATATTTTTAGTATAAAATAGGAATTCTGTGTAGTCTTTTCCGTGTGTTCAACCTATTGTACTAGTTACTCAAATATTGTCCAAGTACCCGTTGTGTGTGAAAGGATAAACTGAGAAATGTACGTTGGAAACACCACTTTTCATTAATAAAGTCTTGTTTACATTGCTTTTATCTTATTTTGCAAAGTTACTTTTCCTGAATCTTTACCTTCATTTTTGTTACCTTCCTTACTTTCTAAAAACCACAAGCATCTTATCTTTGGTCGAACGTGCGTTCTTCCTGGACATCTTTTTTTCACACCAAACCAAACATAAAAATTAGCATATGTTCTGGGATCAAACTGATCGATCCCGCGAGTAACCAAAAAGACTTTCCTTTTTGGAGGATCAGCGGTTGTTTACCAAAAACCACGGTAAACAAATTGGCACACCTGGTGGGACGTTGCTAGTTTTTATCATCTATTTGTTCATGTTATTGTTTTCCTTTTATAAGTATACATCATTGTATATTATTAAGAAGTGGTAGAATAACCAACGAGTGTACTGTTAGGAAGAGAAATAGCGAAAGTAGAATGGCTAATGAGCCAAATCATGGAGAAATACCTCCACCAAATACTACTGGAACAACGGTTATTACCACCGTTGGAGAGAATATCTCAACTTCCGTTGGTTCAATACCAACTGTGATACGGTGGGAAGAACTCACTGTTTTTTTTTTGGAATGCTGGTTTGCGTTTTGCGTTTTGTTTTCGCAAAATATCGCAGTAAGCAAGAGTCGCCACCGACTTTTATTTTATCCAACAAGGAAAGGAAAAAAGCACAGGAAAATTCCTTTTTCGCAAAATGATGTATACTTATAGAAAGGGAAGGTGTTAGAACCCTTTCTATCCGTGGTTATCCACGGGCTCTTAGGTACTTGCTCATATTGTTTTCAAAATTTGCTTTCTTTGTGTTTGTGGGTTTGAAAAAAAATTTGTTTGAAACTTCGATTTAACTCTTGCTTCTTTCCTCAAGAGTGTATGAAGTGTTTTTGAAAACTTTGTTCGAAAAGTGTAAGTGTGAAAAGTTTTTTTTTGAAAGAGCAAGTATCTAAGAACCATCTACCTACTCGAAAAAGAAATCGTTCTATGCTATCTTCCTTTAGACAATGCTATCCTACTATTGATGAGTAGGTAGCATCATCGTCGGAGTTTAAGGGTCAATTCGAATTAGGGACATACGATCACTAAAGCAATGTTAGGACGCCTTAGCGGTAACCCTAATGTCTTAGATCATTTATTTGAGGCAATCATATCCGAGGCAACCGGTTCGAGGCGACTATGATCTTTAGACAAGAGGGCGACCTCTAAAACTACCTATACTCAATGACTGCGTACGAAGGCAACCAAGTGGGGTGTACCCTAAGAGTGCGCATGTGCGAGTGTGTCGTTTTCAGTCAATTTTATCTTTGTACATGTTAAGGGTGATCTAAATTGATTTTAAGTTAAAACATTCAGTCTTGTCATGTCATCCTATTATCAAATATCTAACAATTATAATTTGCAGAAATAAAATGCGGAATTTAAATTACAAGGCGTCGGGTATTTACATCGTCAAAGACAAACCCTTTAAAAATAAATAAAGCGATAAAAAATAAATAAAGGTCCTATTAACTATTACAAACCGGGAGCAAATACATTATTGGATAAAAAGTAAATAAATCTCGTGCGGGAAATTAAATCGAGTGCAAGATTAGGGTTTTGACCCTTTAAAGAAGACATTTTTTGTTATTTTTATTTTAAGGAAGAAATTAACCTAAATTAATCACTAAATTAATAAATTAATTAATTAATTAAAAAAATTATTTTTGGGTTTTTTGTTATTTTAAGAAAGAAAAATAAAATAATTAATGTTAGTAATTAAAACCTAATTAAATCTAATTTAATTTTAATTATTTACAAAAAATAGATTAAAGTTATTCTAATTAAAACCTAAATTAATTTAACTAGTGTTTATTAATAAAAATTAAAATTAAAATTTGGTTTAATATAAAAAATATTTTTGTGATTTTATTTTAAAAAGAATTTTTTTTAATTGATTAGTAAATTAAATAAAACAATGAAAACAATTAATAAAACTAAATAAATAAAAGAAAAGAAAAGGGTTTGGGCCTGAATTTGGGAGTGTAGATAGCAATCTGAAGCCCAATTGTGTTGGCCTTGGTGGATTTTTACTGATTCAGTGTGCATGCGTTGACTTAGACCATGGTAGACATTCACCCTTGGACCACCAGATCTGGCCTTTGGCCATCTGGCTATTGGATGCTTGATGGTGCGTGGTGTACTGCATGCTTGAGCAAACACCTGATTACATGAAAAACAAGGAGAAAATGCAAAGCGCTGGAGGCAGGGATCGAACCCCTGACCTCCAGCCACTAACACCTTGGAATTGGACACGCTGACCACTGGGACACGTTGTTTCAATTGTTATATGAATACAAATGATATATATTATATAAAAACAAAATCATGTGCCAGCAAATAAAAAAATGCGTGCTAATTTTGAATGGACCTATGGGCAAGGGACACCTCATCGTCCTTGTCCTGAAACCTGTAAAATATTTACCTGCAGATTTGAATCCGCAACTAAAAGCGTAGGTCCATCCTAGAATCCATCTCAAGCCACAAAAATGAGTTCTAAGGACATGGTTGTACTCGTCCTTCCCTCCCGGTCACAACCATACCTCTCTTGATGGTCAATTGTTCCTGAAAAGAAAACGCCCAAAAAAGCTCAAAGAACCCTAGCTATGGTGATTCTTGTTACAAATCATATAAACGAAATTCAATAATACAAAAAGTTTACAAATGTCCTTGTGATCACAAATATGCAATTATTTTGTCCAAATGATGCCAGAATGATGATTTACGATTTCAAGAAAGAAGCGGATCCGTGTGGTACTTACAGTTCTTTAGAGTGCTTGAAAACACGTGGTCTGGATTGCAAAAGCTTCTGGAGATGATCAGCAGTCGATTGAGATAACCCCCAAGTCCTGAAAATGCCTCTAGTTTGAACTTTGATATATCACTTTTTGTCAATTTTCCAATTTTTGATTCTGCCTCTGCCTGTGTTTTTAAACCCCTATTTTTATTCCTCTTGCTTGCTTATGTACTATGGAGTGTATTAGGGTAAGAATTATGGATTGAATCTTCCCATATCAATGCATACATATTTGATTTGATCCATTCTTTAAAACTTTCCAAATTTGCCAAATCTCAATATTTTTGCACATGAATTGGTGAGATTCGAGTTTGATGATGATATTGATGATAATCAAAACCTGAAACAGCCAAAAGATCTCATGTACTCAAAGTTTTGGATTTTATATGATTTTATTTGATTAAAAATGAATAAATTCAATAAAAAAACAAATAAAATAATAAAAAAGAAATATGAGCTCATGTCTGAAGCTAGAACACGTGGACAATGATGCAAACTCAAATCAAGTTGAAAAGAATGGGCCCATTTGACAGAATTTGAAGTTTTGGGGATAGTTGACTTTTGACAATTTTGCAAAAATGTCCAACTTCAATAATGCATAACTTCTTCAATTTTGAACTTTTGGAGGTGTTCTGGGACTTTTTAGAAATCTTGAGATGTCCTC